GCTGAAGATATTTAAGTGTTTCCAACAGGATTGGGTAATGTAGATATTTCATGCTGCTTGTTAGAATGTGTCAGCAATCAGTTAACTGGAGCACAGATGGTTAACTAGGTCAAACATGTCTGCACCTAGCTGCAACCCAAAGGACGAAGAATCTCTTGATCTACACCTTTGGCCAAAATGTCATTCATTTGATTCTGCCTGCATAAGTCATTCATCTTTCTGAAAATAATGAAATATTAATTTTATATGATTACATTTTGAGTGCAAGCTTCTTGACCTTTAAAGTGAACTTGAGATAATATGATTTTCCTCGCCTTCAGAAGGAATCAATTAATATCTGACATTATCAAATTGATCATAGTGGATGGGGAGATCAATACCCTCTCCTCAGAGGAAATAAGTGGTGGAAGTCTCCAGCAGGTGCCCCAGGCTGTCCATGAACCAGGTTGTGGCAGCAGGTGCCCTATATTTACTTTGTCCTAGATACTGATTGGTGGAAGAGTCCAAACATTTAACTTGACTTGATGCTTTTTGGTGCTAGTGTCCCAGGCAGACATTATACAGCCACCCTAACCCATATATACCGTAACCAGTATACTTTAACAGAGACTGAGACTTTGGAGCTCTGTCATGTGAACAGCAACAATTGGGCCCTAGTGTTCCACTGGAGGTGACTGTCATCTGACAATATGAACACCAATTGGGCCCTAATGTCCTACTGGAGATGACTGTCATCCGTCACAATATGAACACCAATTGGGTCCTAGTGTTCCACTGGAGGTGACTGTCATCTGACAATATGAACACCAATTGGGCCCTAGTGTCCTACTGGAGATGACTGTCATCCGTCACAATATGAACACCAATTGGGTCCTAGTGTTCCACTGGAGGTGACTGTCATCTGTCACAATATGAACACCAATTGGGCCCTAGTGTCCTACTGGAGATGACTGTCATCCGTCACAATATGAACACCAATTGGGTCCTAGTGTTCCACTGGAGGTGACTGTCATCTGTCACAATATGAACACCAATTGGGTCCTAATGTTCCACTGGAGGTGACTGTCATCTGACAACATGAACAGCAACAATTGGGCCCTAGTGTTCCACTGGAGGTGACTGTCATCTGACAATATGAACACCAATTGGGTCCTAATGTTCCACTGGAGGTGACTGTCATCTGACAATATGAACACCAATTGGGTCCTAGTGTCCTTCTGGAGGTGACTGTCATCTGACAATATAACACCAATTGGGTCCTAATGTTCCACTGGAGGTTACTTTCATCTGACAATATGAACACCAATTGGGTCCTAATGTTCCACTGGAGGTGACTGTCATCTGACAATATGAACACCAATTGGGTCCTAATGTTCCACTGGAGGTGACTTTCATCTGACAATATGAACACCAATTGGGCCCTAGTGTTCCACTGGAGGTGACTGTCATCTGACATTATGAACACCAATTGGGTCCTAATGTTCCACTGGAGGTGACTGTCATCTGACAATATGAACACCAATTGGGCCCTAGTGTTCCACTGGAGGTGACTGTCATCTGACAATATGAACACCAATTGGGTCCTAATGTTCCACTGGAGGTGACTTTCATCTGACAAAATGAACACCAATTGGGTCCTAATGTTCCACTGGAGGTGACTGTCATCTGACAATATGAACACCAATTGGGCCCTAGTGTTCCACTGGAGGTGACTGTCATCTGACAATATGAACACCAATTTGGTCCTAATGTTCCACTGGAGGTGACTGTCATCTGACAATATAAACACCAATTGGGTCCTAGTGTCCTACTGGAGGTGACTGTCATCTGACAATATGAACACCAATTGGGTCCTAATGTTCCACTGGAGGTGACTTTCATCTGACAATATGAACACCAATTGGGTCCTAATGTTCCACTGGAGGTGACTTTCATCTGACAATATGAACACCAATTGGGTCCTAATGTTCCACTGGAGGTGACTGTCATCTGACAATATGAACACCAATTGGGTCCTAGTGTTCCACTGGAGGTGACTTTCATCTGACAATATGAACACCAATTGGGTCCTCGTGTCCTACTGGAGGTGACTTTCATCTGACAATATGAACACCAATTGGGCCCTAGTGTTCCACTGGAGGTGACTTTCATCTGACAATATGAACAACAATTGGGCCCTAGTGTTCCACTGGAGGTGACTGTCATCTGACAATATGAACACCAATTGGGCCCTAATGTTCCACTGGAGGTGACTGTCATCTGACAATATGAACACCAATTGGGTCCTAATGTTCCACTGGAGGTGACTGTCATCTGACAATATGAACACCAATTGGGCCCTAATGTTCCACTGGAGGTGACTTTCATCTGACAATATGAACAACAATTGGGCCCTAGTGTTCTACTGGAGGTGACTGTCATCTGACAATATGAACACCAATTGGGTCCTAATGTTCCACTGGAGGTGACTTTCATCTGACAATATGAACACCAACTGGGTCCTAGTGTTCCACTGGAGGTGACTGTCATCTGACAATATGAACACCAATTGGGTCCTAATGTTCCACTGGAGGAGACTTTCATCTGACAATATGAACACCAATTGGGTCCTAGTGTCCTCCTGGAGGTGACTGTCATCTGACAATATGAACACCAATTGGCTCCTAATGTTCCACTGGAGACGACTGTCATCCGTCACAATATGAACACCAATTGGGTCCTAGTGTCCTCCTGGAGGTGACTGTCATCTGACATTATGAACATCAATTGGGTCCTAGTGTTCTACTGGAGGTGACTTTCATCTGACAATATGAACACCAATTGGGTCCTAATGTTCCACTGGAGGTGACTGTCATCTGACATTATGAACACCAATTGGGTCCTAGTGTTCTACTGGAGGTGACTTTCATCTGACAATATGAACACCAATTGGGTCCTAATGTTCCACTGGAGGAGACTTTCATCTGACAATATGAACACCAATTGGGTCCTAATGTTCCACTGGAGGTGACTGTCATCTGACAATATGAACACCAATTGGGTCCTAGTGTTCTACTGGCGCAGACTGTCATCCGTCACAATATGAACACCAATTGGGCCCTAGTGTTCTACTGGCGCAGACTGTCATCTGACAATATGAACACCCATTGGGTCCTAGTGTCCTACTGGAGGTGACTTTCATCTGTCACAATATAACACCAATTGGGTCCTAGTGTTCTACTGGGGCAGACTGTCATCTGTCACAATATAACACCAATTGGGTCCTAGTGTTCTACTGGGGCAGACTGTCATCCGTCACAATATAACACCACTTGGGTCCTAGTGTTCTACTATATGGGACTAGTCATGCCAAATACAAGTGGGTACCCTGTCCTTGATGTGTGCTATCAAACTATGGCAGTAGGGCCTGTGATCTATCTTAAGTCCTAACTGTTCCCTAAATACTGAATGTCAAACATTGATTAATAACCAGGTCACCATGAGCTCAAGATCCAATTCAGTCAAATTTCTTTATCACCACTTGTGCATTGGCAACAGGGCAGTTGGCCTAGTTTGCCTTTACTACTAGCCATGATTGAGGTGTTTATACAAATGTTTAAGATGTTACCTGCATTACACTGGCAAGGTCAGACCAGGTAGTTTAGGGTACACCATGAGAGAGGTCTGTGTTGTGGCAGCACTTAGTCCAGATGACAGAGGCAGCCATGAAGTAATCCAACATGGAGTTAGTGAGTTGGGTTTTATTGATGTGCAGAATGATGGTTGTGTCATGGCTTCTTAGCTTAATTGGGGAGAGCCAAAAGTGGCACAGGTGAAGGATAGATGTGTACCATTTTGATGCTGCAAAGACCAAGAAGACATCGGGCAAAAATGTGAATAAAACCCATGGCCAGTGGATACTCATTGGTGCCTTCAACCATTGAACCACCTGATAGCATCATTAAAACAAAGGAATCTGTTATTATTAGACATTGTTTTTTTCAGAAATCATGTTGTCATTTGGAAATACAACATTTTAGTTAGTGTGTGGGACTCATAATACATAATAATTGTACTTCAGGGTGATGATAATTGGGGTGTTTATTAATCAAGTCAATTACAATATTCAAAATGACTTCTTATGACAAACCATTATTTTATTACAATGAAAGTCTAAACAGGATAAATATAAACAGACAACTCCATGTATGCATCATCAGAGCCAGGTAGCTGGCAACCCCTCCTATCTGTGTTGTATGTGCAGTGCGTCTCGTGTACAACTTACCTCTGTTGTATGTGGAGAGCGTCTAGTACAACTTACCTGTGTTGTATGTGCATTAAGCCTCTTGTACAACTAACCTGTGTTGTATGTGCATTAAGCCTCTTGTACAACTTACCTGTGTTGTATGTGCATTAAGCCTCGTGTACAACTTACCTGTGTTGTATGTGCATTACGTCTCTTGTACAACTTACCTGTGTTGTATGTGCATTAAGCTTCTTGTACAACTTACCTGTGTTGTATGTGCGTTACGTCTCTTGTACAACTTACCTGTGTTGTATGTGCATTAAGCCTCTTGTACAACTTACCTGTGTTGTATGTGCATTAAGCTTCTTGTACAACTTACCTGTGTTGTATGTGCATTAAGCCTCTTGTACAACTTACCCTTTGTGTATGTGCATTAAGCCTCTTGTACAACTAACCTGTATTGTATGTGCATTAAGCCTCGTGTACGACTTACCTGTGTTGTATGTGCATTAAGCCTCTTGTACAACTTACCTGTGTTGTATGTGCATTAAGCCTCTTGTACAATTTACCTGTGTTGTATGTGCATTAAGCCTCTTGTACAACTTACCTGTGTTCCATTTGCATTACGTCTCTTGTACAACTTACCTGTGTTGTATGTGCATTAAGCCTCTTGTACAACTTACCTGTGTTGTATGTGCATTAAGCCTCGTGTACAACTTACCTGTGTTCCATTTGCATTACGTCTCTTGTACAACTTACCTGTGTTGTGTTTCAGGAGAATGAATGGACAAAACTCGAGAAATCCGAGCAGCCAGAATGGACCGCCGACTAGCAAGGGCAACCGCATGGACATCCCTACACTCCGTATCCAATCAGAGACTCCAGTTCCCCCAGCATGCAACACACCGGGCCCGCCACAAACAAGCACACGTGCTGGTGAAAAGGGACTACATTTTCCTGCACTCAGCTCCTCACGCTCTTTAGTGAATGCAGGTAAACCCACACCTCGCCAAAATGGATTTGAACAGAAGTCAATATTTCCTACGCCACGCACAAACGGGACCCAGCACGGCCATTCAGTCAGCCACAGTGGCACCTTCAACAGGTCCCACAAATCAGGTGAGCTAATACTTTCTCGTTATCCTACACAGATGTTGTGGATATGTAATGAAGGCAGGTCAAGAGGGCCCCAATATTGGTACAAATTATCAAAATGTGTGTCATGAAAGACTCAAGGTGACTGAGGCACTCGGAGACCCAGTTGGAACTTCCTTCATCATCAGGGGGATATTAGTCATTCACCTGTCACCCAATATTGGTACAAATTACCTAACCATCCAAAATTGTTCTGACATTTTGCACAAATGACTTACTAGCAATACTTTTGGTGGAGTTTAGACATAGATCATTGTTCTCCAATCTATTCACACTTTGATAGTTGGGTCATTTGAAGAAAGGATTTGTTAATGTCTTCATTCTGCAGAATGTACAGCCAATATAAAGCTGATTCTACCACTTACCTGTACAGACCTGTGAAGATCCTGGGTAGAATAGGTCTTCAGTAACCCATGCTTGCCGTAAAATGTGACTATGCTTGTCATAAGAGGGGACTAACGGGATCAGATGGTCAGGCTCACTGACTTGGTTGATGCATGTCATCGTATCCCAATTGCGTGGATCGATGCTCATGATGTCAATCACTGGATTGTCTGGTCCAGACTCGATTATTTACAGACCGCCCTCATATAGCTGGAATATTGCTGAGTGCGGCGTTAAACAACAAACAAACAAAACTTACCTGTACATGCTCCCATTCTACTACTCATGTTCAATGTCATCTGTCTATACTACTTTCCTAAAACTGTATTTACTGTATCTGTATTTACAACTATCCCGCCACTTACAGCATTTACATTTGCCTTACACACTCTTCCATATGTACTATGAAGGAGATTGATACAAGTGTTTTAATTCTACAAAATTGAATAATGATGAACTTAATAATACAGTCATTTTCGTCTAACAGCCATTTGAGTTGTGAAAGAACCAGTGTTTTCCCTGTGTGGTTGACTGGGATCAATACAGGAGGGGTATTGATTGTATCCGATGGTAGCCATTCATGCTGCGGAGTTGCCCATTCATTATTTCAGTCTCATGGCTGGTGGAGACCTGAAATGTAAACTAAACAATACTTCTAGAAGCAACAAGATTTAATAGCTCCTCAGACCAATGTTCATGCAATTACAGATGTGTTTAGAGTGCATCTAAGCTTTAAGGCGTTTTTGTGTCAACATTTTATTTGGGGAAAAGTCTTTAATGTGACTTTTTTGTTTGCTTACATTGTGGAGATTTTATGAGATATTGATTCACTGGTTAATTGCAGATATGATGCTGAACTGGATAGGATCATGCTGAACTGGTTTTAAGAACGATTTTGTTTTTATGAAATTCACATCCTAACAATATTTCATGACATGGAATGTAGGGTACAACATGGTGATATGTCTGTGATACAACTGTTATATGGCTGTGATATAACTGTGATAAGGTGGTGATATTGCTGTGATAAGGCTGTGATACAACTGTGATACAGCTGTGATATAGCTGTTATACAACTATTGAATAGCTGTGATACTGCTGTTATACGACTGTGATAAGGCTATGATATTGCTGTTTGTATAACTGTGATATTGCTGTTTTACAACTGTGATAAGGCTGTGATATGGCTGTTATACAATATTTATACAACTATGATATTGCTGTGATATTGCTGTTGAGTAACTGTGATCAGGTGATACTGCTGTTATACGACTTTGATAAGGCTATGATATTGCTGTTGTACAACTGTGATATTGCTGTTTTACAACTGTGATATACCTGTTATACAACTGTTGAATAGCTGTGATACTGCTGTTATACGACTGTGATAAGGCTCTGATATTGCTGTTATATAACTGTGATATTGCTGTTTTACAACTGTGATGGGCCTGTGATATGGCTGTTATATAACTGTGATATTGCTGTTATACTACTGTTATATTGCTGACTACAGAGTTGAAATGAACTCACTACTTACCAATGATTAGATTTGATGTCCATAACCTTTGCCATGGGTCAAACATGAATCAACATTTGAAACCCATTCACAAGACAAAGATAGAACAGAAATGCCGCACTCCCTGATAAAGAAGCCGTAAGTGTAAAGTCCAACCAGAATGTTATTTGAGTTGAGTAGTAATCGAAGATTAGAGTCATGACGATTTTCCTCACAGGAGCTAACGTGACTTAAATTTTAATATAAACTGAACACAGCCTCACATATCGGATAAGTAGAAGTGAGGGAACTGCTCTGGTTCATTCTAATAATGGTAATAAATATGTTTCTAATGGGTACAACAACTGATAACCACTGTCAAATTTGATCAAGTATTCAGTTTTAGAAAAATCAAAACTATCCAATATGTTTACTTCTTTTTATGTTTTGGGCAGTCGGGTAGCCTAGTGGTTAAAGCATTCGCTCGTCACGGCGAAGAGCCGGGGTCGACTCCCGACATGGGTACAATGAGTGAAGCCCATTGCTGGTGTCCCCCGCTGTGATATTGCTGGAATATTGCTAAAAGCGGTGTAAAACCATACTCACTCACACACTTGTTATGTTCAGTTGACCATGCTGTGATAATCTACCCATACATACTGTTGATGCAGTATACAATTTAAGCAGTTCTTTTATTAATGTACTTGGTTATATTTTAACCCGTGAAGATCCAGGGTAGATCAGGTCTTCAGCAACCCATGCTTGCCGTAAAAGGCAATTATGCTTGTCGTAAGAGGCGACTAACGGGATCGGGTGGTCAGGCTCGCTGACTTGGTTGATGCATGTCATTGTATCCCAATTGCGTGGATCAATGCTCATGTCAATCACTTGATTGTCTGGTCCAGACTCGATTATTTACAGACCTCCGTCATATAGCTGGAATATTGCTGAGTGGGGCGTTAAACAACAAACAAACACACAAACAAACAAACATTTTTGCAAGTCACTTTGGGAAGGTTGAAGTAAAAGTAAGAATAACATGAATGTGTGTACCGGAATATGTTGTACTTTAGTTGGTAAACATTGCATGGGTTGGTTGAGAAAGCTGCAGAAATAGATGAAAAAACTGTTAAAAGAAAAGGAAGCAGTCACATTCGTAAGAGTAGTCTTTGTTCTCACTGCAGTTGCAGGAGACAAGAGGAAGCAGTTGGTCAGTTATGTTTAGCCCCTGTGGGTGTTCCAGGTTAGAATAGGTCATCAGCAATTATCCCATGCTTGTCATAAGAGGTTGCTAAATGGATTGGGTAGTCATGTTTAGACAATGACTTGTTTGTTTTTCATCATTCACCTATTGTGTGGGACGTTTCTCATAATAGTCACTTGTTTGTCTGGACCAGAATCGCTTATTAGCAGGCCAACATCATACGGTGAAAATATTTATGAGTGAGGCATTAAACAACAAACAATTATATTGAGACCAAACCATCAAATAGAGAGAAAATAATAAAAACGTTTAATTATTTTCCTTTTTAGTTTGTTTCAATTTCCTTGTTCATTACAAAGACCAAACCATGTTGAATTATACCGCTGTAGTGAGTGAGTGAGTGAGTGAGTATGTTTTATGCCACTTTACCAATGTTCTAGCAATATCACAGTGAGGGACACCATTAATGGGCTTCACACATTGTACCCATGTTTGGGATCAAACCTTGGTCTTCAGCATGACTAGCGAACGCTCAAATGCTAGGCTACCCCACCACCGTCTCTGTAGACCCGTAAAGGTCCGGGGTAGAATAGGCCTTTAGCAACCCATGCTTGCCGTATAAGGCGACTTAAACGGGATGGGGTGGTCAGGCTCGCTGACTTCGTTGATGCATGTCATCGCATCCCAATTGTGTGGATCGATGCTCATGATGTAAATCACTGGATTGTCTGGTCCAGACTTGATTATTTTCAGACTGCTATCATGTAGCTGGAATATTGCTGAGTGCGGCATTAAACAACAAACACACAAACAAATCTCTGTAGTGCAACTGTCAGAAACTTGCAAATGACAAAGAATATCAAGTCCTCGTCCAGAAAGGGTTTAAGTTTAAATTATTATTTTTGTGATGTTCTTGGTCGAGATTTTTGTTGTTATTCTTGAAGCGTTATATACTGATGTAACAGGAACGTTTCCATATCAAAAGTTTCACAACATGTCTTTTCCTACAAACAACTCATTAAATCAACAAATATGATATTGCTTAATCCTTCTCTCAGGTATAGGGTTTCTGGATTTATCGCATTGAAATGGTTCTTGGAATGCTCTATCACTCCCTGCTATAGATCACAGCTTGTAATAAATATCCTTTCTGCTTCTTAAAAAGTTAATAGTTTATCTATCGTGTCATATAAAACATGTCTGTATGTGTCCAATCTGTGAATGAGGCCAGTAGACATGGTAGGAAAACTACCAACTGTGAAATTTATGCAGCCAGTATTGTTGTGATTGGTCGTTAACAGGTGAGATGAAAGTTAAATACAGACAACAGCACTGCTTAGTTGCAGGCTCGGCACCTCTCCTCCCGACGCTGACTGTAACAGCAGCACCTCCTTCGTGCATGACTGATCCACCTGGCTCCCACTGAAACCAGTGCCAAGACCAAACCTGCCTATTTCTGACTGAGCCACTTTTTGTCCGTTACACAGATCCTCTGTTAACACTTGATGAAGAAAACACACACAAGCATTACACAATTTCTAGTTGATGGACTTGACTTTGATGTTGGTTTCGAGGGTGCGCTTTCATTTTGTAACAACTCTCGAGCCTCTGAGTCTCATTTTTAGGAGGCCATGTGCACGAGGAGCAGGAATGAGTCTGACACTAGGTGTCTGTGAGGCTGACATCTCTGAACTAGAACTCTGCAGGTTGTTCAGGAGACTTGCATAATGTAACATTAACTTCTCTTTAGGTGTAATGTAAAGAGGCTGTGGATAATTTCATGAATGTTTTTGATATCACTTTTCCTCAACGAGAAATAGGAGTCTCATTCATCTCTACTTGCTTGAAGGGCCAGTTGATGTTTAGGACCAATGACAAGGC